CACTGTCGCCCAGGCTCTTCGCGATCCGCTTTGGAATGCCGCTATGCGTCAAGAACGCGATGCTCTTCTCCGCAACAAAACCTGGAATCTCGTACCCAGGCCTCCGAATTGCAACATCATCTCCAACAAATGGCTCTGGCGCAACAAACTCAATCCAGATGGCACGCTTGAACGGAGCAAAGCGCGTCTTGTGGCTCGCGGGTTTCAGCAGGTGCAAGGCCGTGACTTCACACACACGTACAGTCCGGTATTAAAACCGGCTACGCTTCGTCTGGTGCTGGGCCTTGCAGTCACCAATGGGTGGCCTCTTCACCAACTGGACATCTCCAACGCCTTTCTCCACGGCGAATTGACCGAAGAAGTATACATGGCCCAGCCTGCTGGGTTCATCGATCCAGACTACCCAGATCATGTCTGCCGCCGCAACAAATCCATCTACGGGCTCCGACAGGCCCCCCGCACTTGGTTTCAATGTCTTGCTCGTGCTCTGCGCAACTTCGGGCTCACGGCCTCAAAAACAGACCCCTGTCTGTTCATCTACACCTCCGGCCAATCTTACCTTTACATGCTTGTGTATGTTGACGATATTGTCATTACAGGTTCTGACCAAGCTCTACTTGACCGGCTGCTGGCTCATCTCCATCACCACTTTGCTCTTCGAGATCTCGGTCCCCTGACCTACTTCCTCGGCATTCAAGTTGTCCGCAATTCCACCGGGATAACCCTCAGCCAGCGGAAGTTTATTCTTGAGCTCCTCCAACGTGCCCATATGGAGAATGCAAAGCCGATCTCCATACCGTCCACTGCTGCCATTGTCACAACCAGCGCCCTTGACTCATCGCACAAATTTGCCGATCCCAGTCTGTACAGAGGCATTGTCGGCGGCCTTCAGTATCTCAGCTTCACTCGTCCAGACATCTCGTTCGCCGTCAATCAGGTCTCACAATATCAACATGATCCTTCTGACACCAACTGGGCTGCGGTCAAGCGAATTCTCCGCTACCTCAAAGGCACTCTCGATCAAGGTCTCAGCATCAGCCGCTCCACCTCATCCGCCATCCACGGCTACTCCGATGCATCTTGGGCGTCCTGTCCCCAGGATCGTAAATCCATCACAGGCTTTGCAGTATTCTACGGCACCAACCTCATCTCTTGGTCCACTCGCAAATAGCAATCCGTCGCCCGATCATCCACAGAGTGTGAGTACCGGGCTCTTGCCACCGTTGCTTCGGAGGTCATCTGGCTTCAATCCCTCCTCACCGAACTTGGGCAACCTCTCCACCAGTCTCCAATTCTATGGTGCGACAACCTGGGCGCCACTTTCCTCGCCCACAATCCGGTCTTCCATCATCGTTCGAAGCACATGGAGATCGAATTTCACTTTGTCCGCGATCAGGCTCACAAGCAACAGCTGCGCGTCCACTATCTTCCGGCTCAAGACCAAATCGCTGATGTTCTCACCAAACCACTACCTCGTGCCTCCTTCCTCCGATTCTGTGACAAGTTCCGCCTTTCCTCGGCTTCACTTGCGGGGGCGTGCTAACGGATACAGATATGAGTTGTTAACCCACGTCTCCCTTCCACCATTTCCTCTGTTTCTGTTCCTGAACTTCAGCACACTACCGTTGCTTCTCCTCCTGTAAATCAGCTCTTTGTTATTCCTTTTGTACTATAAGTAGAGATGCTCGATAATACCAACATAGTTGTGCAGCATTCACATTTCCAGGTGTGTAATTTCCATTTACCTTATCAATTTTGAAAAATTATTATAGGATTCTTAAGTGTATTTTTGCATGAAATGATTGAGTTAGGCGAGAGATTAGTTTAATGATGAATGAATGAATATGGATGGAGGTGTATGTTGGCTTGTAGATGCCTTTGTGCACAAATTTTGCATGATACTCTTTTGAATGATATGCCCACCAAGTGTTTGTTAAAATGCCTAACCTTCATACCCTTTGTACATGTTGTAAGGTGAGCATCAAGCCATGTTCTAAAGTTGATCTTGCATTCTACTTAGACGACGAAACCCCTAGTTTAATGCCTTTGATTGCTTGTAGTTCAATTGTGCTTAAAACATGGAAATATGGGCTTATTTGAACCTTATGCCACCATGCCACCAGACATTGAGCTTAAGTGAGGTGGAGTAGTGTTATCCCCCATATTTGAATTTTCTGACATGTCTACCATGTATGGTGTATGGTTTGATATATGTTTGCAGGTATGGCCGACCTGAACCACCCTACCTCCAACCCTTGGTGAACCACCCTGACTATGGACACAACTTCACCGTGTACAGGATGGATTTGATTAGGCCCTATTGGTGTCGGGATCTTGACCAGTTCGCAATCTTCTACTGCACGTCTACAATTTCTGTTGTAGTGGAGCACCCATAGTGGTGACGGCTCCTCTGTGTGGATATGGAAATCTTTTGAGAGTTGTGCATGGAGTTCTACTCCATGTACTAGCATTTTCAGGCCAGTGGCCGCCACCAGAATCCATGTCTCCTTCAGACTGGGAGGTGTCGACCATGAGCTACCACACATCAGCTCGTGCTCTTGGGCTCGACACGCGCATCATGCGTAGCCTAGAACTCGAGTATAGTCGGGCCGTCAACCTTCAGCAGTTGGACGAGATCATTTATTTTGAGCAACATCGCCAGTTCCAGTACGAGCATACAAGGGACTACCTCTTTCGACCACAGTGGTGGATCCTCCATACTCTCATGTTGCACTGCATCCTTTCGAGTGCCAGTGCACCGAGCATGTCACCCTGAGGGGGATGGTTTCTCTCTAAACCATGATCAAACCATGCAAGGTCCTTCGTCTCGGGTCCATGGTGGCGATATCCTTCTCCCGAGTGGTGGGGAGCAAGAGGGTCTATATCATGCACATGGCCTATTCATAGTACTTTGGATGGTGTGCACTTTAGCGAAGATAGTGTAGCACTATGAAGGATGTTGGTCCATGAGAAATCTATCCTCCATTTCCTCTTTTGGTGGTTGATATTGTTGACTAGTGATGTTAGGACACTTGTATTGGGCTATCTAACCTTATGGACTAGAATTGTTTTTGCAAAAAATATGCACCATTTTTTTTAATGTGCTTTGAATGTGAAAAAGAGTGTGTCATGGGTTGTGGAAACCTCACATAGTGCTTAGTGAATCTGTCGACGGATTTATCTAAAATCAGTTTGCTTTTTGAGGGTGTGTAAGCGAGACATGGATATTGTTTCCGAGTCTTCACCTACCATTCTCCTACTATATTCCATCCTCACTTTACATCTCTTTCTTCATATGGTCTAGATAGGGAACCATATGTCACTTCAGCTCAGTTACGAGATAAAGCCCATATTTTTTGAAACTACAAGTGTGATGCCATGTCGTTTGGAAGTTGGGATTTCAGATGATATATTTAGCCAATACATGTAACCACAAGAATTCGCCGTTTTTGTCTTAAAATGAAACAAAATGCTTGTATTTGGACATCAGATGAGACCACGAGAATCATTCATTATGAATGATTGTCCATCTAAACTTTTAGCATATATTGTATTTGAGGGACTATTAGCTTACTTTTTCTTCCTCATTCTTTGAGGGGCCACCAAAATCATTCAATTTGCAAACAATGTATTTTTCAAATTCATACATTGAAATAATGCATCTAATTATAACACATACATTGATTAAATACATCTATTTAGAGAATCCTAACTTCCAAAAATGGCCCAAGTCTCAAAAGTTTGAGCCCTTTAAGTGGGAGCACCAACATCGAGTCCATTGTTTTCATCTCTTTCTCCATATAGTCTAGATAGGGTCCTAGTCAACGTCAGATAAGAGAACTATTTTGTAACAATCATAACACTTTTTGATAACAATTAGGTTTGAACAAAATTCATGATGTAATTTCTAACATTTGTCGGAAGAAAATCATGAAATGAGCCTCGCTATCAGGGTTGTCAAGCCGCGGGTTGATCCAGACCCGCCCTTAAAAACGGGCTAAACCAACCAAATCAAGATCAGCCCGAAACTGGTCAAACCTGCTAAACCCCGGTCAAACCCGGTGGAACCCAGGCGGTTAGCCTGGCCGACCGGTCAGCGGGCTATTCCTCCTGCTGACCGTTTTTACTTGTGCGACGTCGTTGCTGGGGAATGGCAAGAAACAGAAAGCGAGAAGCAGAGGCAGAGCGACGCCTTTTACCCTAGGTAATGGGAACTTGGGATGAGTGGCGAGAAGTTGGGGGTGGGCATTTATAGTGACAAATGTTCGTTGGTATAGTGGGGAAAACGCTACAGAAATTAATAAGTGGATTCAAAAATTTTATGTTGCCTTGTAGGAATTTTTTTAATTTCATAATTTTTTACTTTTATTATTAGAATTTCAATGATCTCTCTCCTCATCGGTCTTCCTTATCATAAAAAAATGATATCCAATTATCATATAATTTACTTCTACTATATAATTAAGTGTGGTGGATTTAAGTGTTCTTGAATTTTTAACTATGATGGATTTAAGTTGATGTTATGCAATGGATTTAAGTGTTATTGAATTTTTATTATGTTGAATTTAAGTAGATGTTATTTAAGTGTGTTAGAGTTTAAGTAGTGTTGCATTTTTCCTATGTTGGAATCATGATAAGTACAAAATACAGACTCTTTTCATATTTTCGGATTAAACCGGACTAAAACGGATGACCCATTAACCCATAACCCACTAACTCGACCGGGTCCGGATCGACCAGCAGTTTGACAAGCTATAGTTGAAATCTGTGCAGTTAACCCCTCCATATCTAGAATAGCAGTCCATCTATAGTCTATAGAGCAGGATTAAATGGAAGAAATTATGAAAGAACTACACGGAATATTGTAATTTCAGTTTAATGATCCTAAAAAACCTTGGCCCGAGACTCAAAGTGTAAGCTTATTTGTCTGACCCTTTCTCACATACGATGGCCAACATCTCATCTCATAAGAGAAGGAGAACAAAGACATAGTTTAGACGCACACATGCTTTGAGGGTTTTCTCTCTTTTCTTCTTCCTTCCTCCTTTCCTCATTCATTCTCTTTTGCTCTCTCTCTTCCCTCCTATCATCACGCCCACCGGCCACCGCCTCCTTCCAATCTATCAATCCCCCATTCCTCCTTCCTCAATGTACTCCAAGAATGTTCACCCGAACTAATTCCTATTCCAATAAGCTCAAGATTTCCACCGGATACTTGTGAAAGGGCCAATAAGTGCCCTCTCTTCCCTAAGCTCTCTGGGTTTGGGAAAGCCTTGAATTTGCCTCCTAACTATTGCTGGCTGTGGCATCCAATTTATCGGGTTATCTGTATCTACAGTGGGTGGCAATTGTAGATTGCAGAAATCTTCAATTGTTGATATTGGTTTGTCTCTTCCTTGCGTGTGTTCTATGTATAATAATTTCTTTTGTTGGCTTACGGTCAGTGGCGGTTTCAGATGAAATGTTATTGGGGAAATTTGTTGTGGGGTTTTAAAGTTTGAAGGTTTCCTTGTGGTCTGAAGGATTGCGTTTTTGTTGTTTGGCTTGTGAGTGAGTTTTGTAGGGCTTCTGCGATATTTGAGGCCCCAAGCTATAAGGAACTCGCCATCCTTTGCGAGTGATAGTAGAACCTCGAGACTATGAGTCGTCGGGTGCGGCAGAAAGTGGCAAAGAAGGGTAAAGAGAAGGTGGTTATCCCTTGCTATCCGGAGGTTGAAGATGACGTTGTTTCACATCCTGAGAGGGACGAGGTTGTTGTTGATTGGACAGGCTTACCTGATGACACAGTAATTCAACTGCTTTCATGTTTGAATTACCGTGACAGAGCAAGCCTGTCGTCAACATGTCGGACATGGAGGGTTTTAGGTGCTTCTCCATGCTTGTGGAGTTCCTTGGATATGCGTGCTCATAAATGTGATGCTTCGATGGCAGTTTCCCTTGCTTCTAGGTGTTCAAGTCTCAAGAAGCTTAGATTTCGAGGTGCTGAGACTGCGGATGCTATAATACATATTCAAGCCAGGAACTTGAAGGACATAAGTGGTGATTACTGTAGGAAAATAACAGATGCAACTCTATCTGTGATTGTGGCTCGCCATGAGGCACTTGAAAGCCTCCAACTTGGACCAGACTTCTGTGAGAGCATTAGTAGTGATGCCATTAAAGCTGTAGCTTTTTGCTGTCCTAAACTGAAGAAACTCCGCCTCTCTGGTATCAGGGATGTTTCTGGTGATGCAATAAATGCTTTGGCTAAGCACTGTCCAGAATTGTCCGACATTGGCTTTCTCGACTGTCTCATGGTTGATGAGGCGGCTCTTGGGAATGTTGAATCTGTTCATTTTCTATCAGTTGCTGGGACATCAAATATGAAATGGGGGGTAGTTTCTCATCTCTGGACTAGGCTGCCTAAACTGATTGGGTTGGATGTTTCAAGAACTGATATTGGACCAGCTGCTGTTTCGAGATTGTTGTCATCATCTCCGACCTTGAAAGTCATGTGTGCGCTAAATTGCTCTGCTCTTGAAGAAGACACAACATTTAGTGCTGACAGATATAGAGGCAAATTGTTGCTTGCCCAGTTCACAGACATCTTTAAGGGGATAGCGTCTTTATTTGCCGACAGTACAAAGAAACTGAAAAATGTTTTCGTAGATTGGATGGATGCAAATCAAAAGGATAAAAACTTGCGAGATATAATGACTTGGCTGGAGTGGATTCTTTCTCATACACTTTTGCGCACAGCTGAGAGCAACCCACAAGGTTTAGATAACTTCTGGCTCAAGCAAGGTGCCGCGATCTTGCTCAGGTTAATGCAGAGTTCCCAGGAAGATGTTCAAGAGCGAGCAGCCACAGCACTAGCTACTTTTGTTGTCATTGATGATGAAAATGCTAGCATAGATTGTGGAAGAGCTGAGGCAGTAATGCAAGATGGAGGCATACGTTTACTTCTGGACCTTGCCAAATCCTGGCGTGAAGGCCTTCAGTCAGAGGCTGCTAAGGTAAAATCTTGAACAGACTTGTCACAGTATTGATGACATCTCCTGTGTTCATATTAAGCAATTATATTCTTTCTTTGACCTACTTGGTTTGATATCCAAGTATATATGTCTTATCCACACACGTCATTAACTGTACTATTGCACTCTTCCTAAAATAATCATTCATGGTATCTCGAAATACTTTAATCATCTTAGGTTTACATTTCTTTGAAATTTAGGCTATAGCAAACCTGTCGGTCAATGCAAATGTTGCTAAAGCTGTAGCAGAAGAAGGTGGGATCGAAATCCTGGCAGGCTTGGCAAGATCCATGAACAGGCTTGTTGCTGAGGAAGCTGCTGGTGGACTTTGGAATCTTTCGGTTGGAGAGGAACACAAGGTGGAGATGTTCGAATGTCACATATCTGTTATATACTCTGGCTTAGATGAGAGGTCTAACTATGGCTATCAATTTTTTCTTAAAGGGTGCTATTGCTGAGGCTGGTGGAGTAAAAGCTTTAGTTGATCTTATTTTCAAGTGGTCATCTGGCGGAGATGGAGTTCTGGTATGACATTAGATATAGCCTTTATGCATTCTAGCCACTGAGAATATCACTTGTTTGTTCCCTCTGTGATGCTTATAACTGTTTCCACAATATAAAGATTAGGTTTGTTTTCATTGTATATTTTCAGGAACGTGCAGCTGGTGCTTTGGCTAATTTGGCAGCTGATGACAAGTGTAGCATGGAGGTTGCACTTGCTGGCGGTGTTCATGCTTTGGTAATGCTCGCCCGTAATTGCAAGTTTGAAGGTGTCCAAGAGCAGGTTTGCAATTTATAATGAAAACTTATTTATGGCAAGAGCAAGCACTGCATTTTTGGGGGTACTGTTATTGTTTTTGGGTTGGGATATCAAAGCTATGTTTTGAACAAATCCGAGGAAGTTGCAGTTCCAATGGTCTAATTTCAAGCTTGAATCTGCAGGTGCTATTCCCATAGCCTGACAAACTCCATGATATCTTTTTCTGGTCTCTTTTTTGCTTACCTGTAAATGGTCCTTATCTTCATCTCACCCTCTCTGATTCGTCACTTGAAGATTTGCAAGAGATGTTCTTTTATCCTGCTCATTGCTTGGCCTGTTTTTATCTACATTTGATTCCACTGTTTCATCCATTGAAAACAAACAGTGACACTTTGGACGATCACAGGCTGCTATCAGCTATGTCTGACACTTAGGTTTGATCCATTGAAAATAATCAGTGACACTTTGGATGATGGCAGGCTGCTCGTGCATTAGCTAACCTAGCTGCTCATGGAGATAGTAATACAAATAATGCTGCAGTTGGTCAAGAAGCAGGTGCCCTGGAGGCACTTGTTCAACTCACTCGTTCTCCTCACGAAGGTGTCAGGTAATTGTTCATGATTTCTAATTGCATATCAATTTCTTCCTTCCATTATACCTTTGCAGCTCCCTGCTTTTGACCTATTCAAGTAGTGGTAGTTATGGTAAAAAAGGACATTTAGGCATGTTCATGATGTAATATTCTCTTGAATGCATGGCTGCACAAAGGCGTTTCTTTGTGTTCTCTCATCTCGTGAACTTTTCCTCTAAGCATCCTGGCAATTTTGCTCTTCTTAATTTCCTTTTATAAGTTATTATTTTTTAAAGTTGTGTATGGAGGAGATATTACAGTTTCTCTACCTTGTGACTATGGCTGAATATAATTATTAGTACTTGGAAATTGAAGCTGTGCTTCACTCTGTGTAAGAAGTTTTCTGCAAACAAAATGTACTGGATCTTTTATGGATATGTTTGTGTGAAATTTAACAGGCAGGAAGCAGCTGGGGCGTTATGGAACTTATCATTCGATGACAGAAATCGAGAAGCAATTGCTGCTGCTGGTGGGGTTGAGGCTTTGGTATATTTTGATCCTCAAAGCTTGAATTTCTCAATCCAATTAGATGTCCAGTCCAGAAAAGAAATCCTCCATGGAATATAATGAATTTCTGAAAATTTGCCATTTGCTTCACGGTAGGAATCTAATGTGCTTATCACTAGAATGCAATGTCAAATAATGTTTACCTGCTTAAGTCCATATAATTATAGATAGAGGGAAGCGTAACATAGAGAACTTCACATTAGCTCCGTAGCTTTCTATGTAAGGGACAGAGACCAATCCAGGACTTTTGTAGTGCATACTCCTTTAGTTGTTGCTCACCCATCTTGGCAGAAGGGCATCTTGTTGTTCACCTATTTTTCCTCTTTCTTCTCGGAAAACAATCCCACTCCAGTATTATGGTACCAACCATCTGCTGTTTTTCTTTCCAGCAATGCCTAGGCTAGTTGGGTAGTTTTTTAAAGTTTGCTATATGTTTCTTCTTCTGTCAGATGGAGGTTTGCACTTGCTGGTGGTTACCTTTTTTGCTGTCCCTTCTTTTTCTCTGTTAACGAGGTTTTGGGGATTAATATTCTGCATTTTGTTTAGGTTGCTCTTGCACAATCCTGTTCAAATGCCTCACCTGGTCTTCAGGAGAGGGCTGCTGGAGCACTCTGGGGATTGTCTGTATCAGAAGTCAATAGGTATGTGGATTTATAGCAATTGTTTTACATGGAGAGCGACCTTCTTGTTCTTCTTCTTTTTCTACATGCTGCTTCATGTGTTGGATGATTTTGGAAAAGTTTATGAGCCCATACTATTTGCTCTTCCATAATAGGGTATATCATTTACTGTACACTGTGTTTGCTTATGTCTGTGGTATATCTTGTTATCAAATCTCGATGTTGAGACTGGTCCCTTTAAGTATCCTCCGTTTTGGGAGTTAAAGCAGATCATGGTTTTAAAGGAAACTTGAGAAAAGGGAATTTTGAGTGTTGGTTACTTGTCCGAGCTCCAAAAACTAGACATCCTTTTGTACCACATCTGACTTTAAAAATATTATGGTGAGTAAATAAGTGGTCGGCATCTATCCGTTGCATAAAATTGCTGTTGTGGTCGACTGGAGTGTTTACTGCACGATCTATCTTAGGACCGCATTGCTTTGTACTCAACACCACCATACAGTCAGAAATATGGGCTATCTATTATTTAGCTTTGCTTTTGTTGATGCATATATCATGATAAATTGCTTTTCATATTTCTTTCAGCATTGCTATTGGAAGAGAAGGAGGTGTTGCACCTTTGATAGCACTCGCACGATCTGATGCTGAGGTTAGTATGACTTCTGGTTGTTGATATTATTGTCTCTCAAGCCTCCCTCGGTCTGTATTCTGCACAGTACGATGTCTTTGCTATAATCTCTTCAAGTTGGATATGTAAAAGAGAACCCACTTTTATTTTCCATGCAATGATTTTGTTGACTTCATCAAACTGACTTCCATCTGTATTGCACAAGTAGACCTACTTGTATAGGCTCTCTGTCTTCAGTATTCTTCCACTATAAAGTTGAACCTCACTTTATGCTCTTTTCTTGTTTGGCTTCAGGATGTTCATGAAACTGCTGCTGGTGCTCTCTGGAATCTTGCTTTCACCCCTGGTAATGCTCTCAGAATAGTGGAGGAAGGGGGTGTACCAGCACTTGTTAATCTTTGTTCCACATCTGTATCAAAGATGGCAAGGTTCATGGCTGCTTTGGCATTGGCATACATGTTTGACGGGAGGTACTCATGTTTCCTCATATGCCTGCAAACCATAATATGTTCCGACTTATCAAATTGATGGCTTTTGGCCTCCAGTTAACTATTTTCTGAGAGATTTGCCAAGTTCCAATTTTATTGCTTGAATTGAAAGATGGAAGGCTAATTTGAAAGCTATACGCTTTCTTCCTTGCATTCAGAATGGATGAGTTCGCATTGGTAGGAACTGCTTCCGAAGGCATGTCAAAGAGCATGAGCTTAGAGGGGGCTAGGAGATTGGCATTGAAACATATTGAGGCATTTGTGCTTACATTCTCGGATCAGCAGGCATTTGCTGTTGCGGCAGCATCATCAGCTCCTGCAGCATTGGCACAGGTAACAGAGAGGGCTCGTATTCAAGAAGCTGGCCATCTAAGATGCAGGTCCTTACTCTGTCTTGTCTCCCCCTCGGTATTCTTCACCATTTTTCGTCATTCCAATTGAAAATTTGTTACTAATGCTGTTTCCCACTTCTCCACCTTGCTTTTGTCTCTCTTGCCTCAGCGGAGCTGAAATCGGGAGATTTGTTACCATGTTGCGGAACCCATCTTCCATACTTAAAGCCTGTGCTGCATTTGCTCTTCTTCAGGTAATGGAATGTATTGTGATTTGTGCATAGATTCATTCTCAAGTTCATCATTGTTCTTGGGGCGTGACTTATAATCAATTTTTTGCCTGTTATACATTCCTGTACAGTTCACTATTCCTGGTGGAAGGCATGCGATACACCATGCAAGCTTGATGCAAAACACAGGAGCAGCAAGAGTCCTGCGTGCTGCGGCAGCAGCAGCAACTGCACCACTGGAGGCGAAAATATTTGCCAGAATTGTGCTGCGGAATCTTGAACACCACCAGACAGAACCTTAAAAGACTATGCAAGATGGTAATCCCAGTACAAGAATTTGCAGTCCCCGTTTGAGGTCTCCGAGCGGAGACCATTTTAAGGTCAGAGCTGCTCTTCCTACTAATGACGATATAATAGAAAGAAGTGCATGCATATGTAGATGCCACCTGGTTGCTGCGTGGGGAAAGAATACGAAGGTGGAAAGGAAGGAATGTGTTTATTTCATTTTATTTAGTTACATGATTATTTGGAGGTGTGTTCTTTAGGCGGAGTTTGAGTCGTAGTTTCTTGCTCCTTCTGTAACATCATAAGGACGAGTCTCCCGTCCCAACGGGGGAAATGTAATAGGGAGCATAGGTGAAGTTGCGGGACATAAAGAAAAAGGGTAATCCTAGTTGAGGATTGTTTCTGTAGAGCCAAGTACATAACATTTGTATGCCATCTAGAAATCTGTATTTCATTAGGACAGCTCCTTGTTGAATCTCTTGGAAATTGTTTGATGGCACGAATAAGGGCTTGGCCTAGTGGTAATACTACTAGTTTAGGACTTCCGAATCTTTTAAGTAGTATCTTAATAAAAAAATGAAACATATATTATCCTTATAAAAAAAAAGAGAAATTGTTTGATAACACGTTTTCCCTTGATAGAAGCTTTTGGAGAATTTGGATAGCATGACTTCATTTGAGCTTATTGATGAAAATGATATGTCAGATGATTTTGAGATAAGATGGACCTAGCAACGTTTTCGGAACTTGACCGGATGTTGAGCCCGAGAAGTTATTTTTTATTAAAAGGTTGAAAATTCATTGAAACGTAAAAGAGTTTGAAGCAAACAGGAAGTGAAAAAAGAAAAGAAAACAAATAAGGCTTTCACAAGAACTAAGAAGTCGAGAAAGTAAGGAGAGAAACAACAAGGCAGCCAGAAACAGAACAACCAAAACGGGCTGCCCAACTGCTCATGAGCCCAAGGGTGGGTCTCGAATCAGAATAACGCAACTAGGTAAGTCGATGGAAGAGTTTGGTGTTTATGGGGGGTTTCTTAACAAGAACAGAGTAGTGAATTTTGACGAATGGGAAGGAAACCAAGCCAGCAACTTCAACACGAAAGGGGAATAGGCTAATGTGGGTAGAGTTATCAATCAACCAAGATGAATGCTTGGTTCGATTAATCTGCAATTCTCGGCCATAAAACAAGAACAAGCCGAGCTCGCAAGCTTGGGGAAAACTCCTCGCCTCAAAGTACTTTTCGATTAAACTTCAACGTGCCTTTTACAACGAATCGAACGAGGCTTTTATAGCCAAAAGAACCCATAACTAACCCACTTAAACAAGGAAACAAATTGGAACAGAATTGGTAAAGGAAATCTACTCTAAACAGGAATCTTCTAACTCAAGTAATCTGTATTGCACAAGGAATTATGACTTCCTGCACACGGCTCACAACCAGCTCCCTTACCAACTTCGAGCTTGTAGGAAACGACCTTCTGGATCGAGTTGAGCTCAGCCAACTCCTTCACGGGGTTTAGAAAGTGGCCCACTTTCATCTCCAACTCGAAACTCCAGTTGATCGTGCTCCAAACTCCTCGAATAAGGTTCCAAGTCGCTACCTCGAACAGCTTTCCTGAAACAGTCAAAATACTTCAAAAATTAGAGGTTCTTCATATGTGTCGGGATTGAATCTTTGGCAACCACTTCTAACTTGGGTATTGACCAATATGTGATTGTATTAGGCCCCCCCTCTTCAAAAAGCTTATGCAAACCTGTTCCCACCAAGCGGCGGAGCCTCCAAATTCGACGCAACCAGTGTTACCTTCTGCTCCTCAGTGTAGTTGTGGCAATCAAAGAACAAGATCACCTTTCGCTCCCAATCCAAGTATTCATACTGATTGAGGCCTCCTTGAAACGAGGGACTGCTAAATTTGATCCCTCGGAGCTCGTCAATGCCCCCTATTTCTGGTGGTCGGTGGTCATAATCACGAAATTCGTGATTTCGATCTCGATGATTGTTTCCAGTGAGGAATAACTGCGCTCCAAGTTCCTAATTCGCTCATTCAGAGCCTGAGGGCGGTGATCTCGATCTCCCTCAGGAATTGTCTCGTGTCTTGTCATTGTTTCCGGCGACTTTGGCTCTGTTACTGTCGTTGACTTCAACTCTGCCAATTGATGGTTGATGTGGTCGAACTGAACCTGAAACGTAGCGTTTATCTGCGCCATGATTGTTTGCAGCAATTCAGTCATATTAATTTGTTGCCCCGCCATGGTCGAATCGTCACACTGGATTTCCTCTTCGAGTTCGGAATTAGACTCTCTTTCCTCTGGTTTCTTCCACAGTGCGATGGGAGTACTTCTTTCTCGTCCTTGCTGCAACATGCCGAATATCCTGTTTCTTCCTCGTTGACGCTGTGTTTGAACCAGACTCTGATACCAATTGATATGATCCTAATTCGAGAATCCTCCCAAATTTGGACCAAAAATCAGAATTGCACAATGTCTAACTCTTTTTAGGGTTTTCTCCTTTCTTGATAACAATAAAAGTAAACATAAATGCGGAATTGATCAAACAGATCTGAACTCGTGAGAAGGGCCAATTGGTATATGAAACCAATCAAACAATCTCCAACCCATGGATAAGGCTAATCGATATCGTCGATGCTCGCCACAACTAGACGCGTTCTCTAGTTGGTAAGAGACACGTGAAAACCTCCTCGAATCCCCGACAGAAAGCTTTGCACAAAAGAACTCGTTCACAATGAACTATAACTCAACTTTGATAGATAACTTGAATAATGAGTATAAAATTTTTAACTCTTACACCCTCTATTTATAGAGATTACAAAAATAAATCTCAAAATAAATAGAAAACGTAATACTAATTAAAAAAAAATAAAACTAATAATTAAACTCCTACATAACCAAAACAATAATTAAACAAATTTATCACAAATTCATCGCACGATGGTAGATGGCACAAATCCTTCTCGTTGGCGGAATCAGATTCTTCACGTGAGCTGCTTGCTTGAGCTTACCATGCCAATTCCTCCCACAAACACAACCATGTAATTAATCATCATAAAAATAATGTTTCATCCCGTGCAATTAGCTTTGTCACGTACTTGGCAGCCCAAATAAATTAGGAACACAATTTATCCATCAAGAATGTTCTCAATCCTTAAATCGTCGAATTCGAATTTTCAACGTGCCTTTTACAATAAATCTTCAATGCACCACCATGACTTTCCTCTTACAAAATTGAAGTCCAACTCTTCACGCTGACTCGCACGAAACTACACCACAATAAAACCACAATTAGAGCCCAAGTTTTTAAATTCTAATCGGGTGCAGTATAGAGCAAGTATTTAGATATCGACTCGGACCGATCCGTCTATTCCTACTTCAGTTGTTGAAATCATTATCTAGCAACAAAGCTTTGGTTTAAAGGTTTGCTAATTGAAATAAAAGAAAGCAAAGGTGATTGGGTTTGAAAACTCTTTTGTGGGAAAGTCATTTGGGTGTCGCTTCCCCCTAACGGCTACCATGCTATGTGGATTGGAACGATTGCCTTGAGCACGTTAATTGTGAACTGCAGAGGAATGCACAAATGTGGTCTCCGGCCACATATGGATTGGAACGATTGCCTTGAGCACGTTAATCGTGAACTGCAGAGGAATGCATATGTAGTCGGAGACCACAGTCTCAATTGTTAAACCGAGGTAAGGATGAAAAGCCGTGTCACTCGACCCTCTCGGTTTAAACAAACCGTAATTGACTTACTCCCTCACTCAACTCTAAGGTCGGACGGTTTAATCACGATTAATCGACTTGCTTAACTCAATATTGAGGGTCGCCATAACTTAACCTAGTTTAGGTGGCTTAGAAAGCGGAAGGAAAACCAACTCGATTGAGTCTCCCTTGAAAGGGGATTTTCCTCTCTAAGCTAGGCCAAGGTGGCAAATTAGATTACTAGCACCTAAATGCACAAACCAATTCGACCGTGAACCACGAAACGCGTCCGTGAACTCCATGCGTGCGCCAAAACGCGCCGCATCGCTCACGTCCGTTCACGGTCAACTGCTTGTGTTCACAGTCTTAGTGACCGTGAACTCACCTTGCGTCAGTAACCTTCACATTGGCTCTGGACGCCTCGTGATTCACGGTCAAGTCCTCTTCTTCACGGTCTTGCATGATCGTGAACTCCCTCAGTTAGCCGTGAACTGGCTCTTTTTCACCTCTTCTCCCGGTTTTCGATCCTTTTCGCCAATCTTTCGACTCTGAGGCTAGTTTCGCCGGTTAAATCCTGAACACACTCAAACACGAAGAACCTAGCATAAACCATCCTTTTAGGAGCGAATTTTGCACAAACATCTAAGTAAAACGGGGGCAAAACATGTGCAATTAGGCCCGAATCACTCCCCCATACTTAGACATTTGCTTGTCCCCAAGCAAACCATTTCACGCACACGGTAATATTTCAACCTACACCAATACTTTGGGGACAACTCAAAGGGCACGAAGTGGGAATTCTCGATGTTTATTGACAATCAACACATGAACCGTTGCAAGCAATACCGACATCCACCACAAACGACATTCAAAGCTACCAAAACGGGAAAATGAAAAGTTCTCAACTTATTCATGGATAAATGCAAGTCTCAACAAAATCGCTTATTGACCACAACCAACCATGCATGGAATACAAGTCCGAGGAACAAATGGAAAGGCAACGAAGGTCCTCACCGGGGTATGAAATGGTAAGTAAAACAAGATTGGATCACTCCCTTTCAAGACTAGTGGGGTCGGGACCTTTTGGTGCAAAAGATGTGCACAATCGTAACCTCTCGGCCCTATCGTCTCAATACCACGGCGGTAACCTCTAAACGCTAGAGTTCATGGGATGGTTGTCACCACTAGCTCGTCCGTAGGTCTTAGACACGGGTTCAGATGACTGGCGATTGGCTTGGACATGGGGAAAAAGCTTTTTGGGTGGTGGAAATCATGACGCGAGGTTCTACATCTTCAACCTAAACGCGAAGGGTCTATGGTTTCGATTAAACCCTTCTCTTCAATCAAAGGCCACTAGCATCGGCAAAAACCTTTATCTCTCCCTTCCAACTATCACCCATCATGAACTACCTTGAAGCACTCTTCCTCGGTCAACTCTTACTAGCTCTTTAAGGTTTGGTAGTGAAGGAGTAGGCACAGGTTCAGATGACTGGAGATTGGATTGGATTGGACATGGGGAAAAAGCTTTTTGGGTGGTGGCAATTATGACGCGAGGTTCTACATCTTCAACCTAAACCCGAAGGGTCTATGGTTTCGACTAAACCCTTCTCTTCAATTAAAGGCCACTAGCATTGGGCAAAACCGTTATCTCTCCCTTCCAACTATCACCCATCATGAACTACCTTGAAGCACTCTTCCTCGGTCAACTCTTGCTAGCTCTTTAAGGTTTGGTAGTGAAGGAGTTCTAAATAATGTGGCGGTTTCGATGGCTTGGGTGCCAAGAAACCCCCCTAGAGCATGTACTTTGGTTTTTCGTGGCACTTTCTACTTTATTTAA